TAAAAAACAATTACGGCGTCTGATGTGAACAGGGTATGAACAGCACCAATCACTCACCAAGCAGATATATATACGTATATATATCACACTCTACCACCAAAAGCTCCCAAACAGACATTATAACCACAGCTCATAGGGAATATACAGGGCAGTGGAGTCCTTAGTGTTATCACCTGCCAATAGCTAACTTGCTAACAACTAACTAACTTGCCAATAGCTAACTTGCTAACAACTAACATGTCAACTGGTAAAGACCCTAATGAAACCTCACTGAAGAGAGAAGGGTTAGAAACGGAGCTTGACTAAACCGAGCACTGCACATAAATTGACATGTGCAATTAGGGAGAAGTACACAGTCGCCCTGCTCTGTTTAAGATATGGAATATTTTCCTAACAGCTTCAAGATGCCTTGTTTTGGGCTTTGGTTTCAAATCTAAATAGGGTTTGACCTTGCTGAATGATGGCACTGGCAGAATGCTCGCTGTAGACTTTGGCTAAACTCCAGCTCCACACCAATCATGACAGAACCAGGCTCAGCCACACCGGAATCTGATTCGTTGTGACCTGAAGTTGAATTCATAAAAAGTGGATTTTTCAGGCTGGTCGTAAACACTTTGGATTTATGGTTTATAAAGGTGGAGAGGGGGGTATTAAACTGGAGGAAATGTGGGTTCAGCTGGTGTACCGGACCTGGAAGCTGTCAGAATGAACTGCTCTGTGACCGTTCTCGCTATTTTTCTCCTCTTTATTTAATTTCCAGATTTTTCTTCCTGTGTTTGTTTTCCCTTTTTCTGCCGCAATATGCCAACACAAGTAGTAGGCAGGCCCAGAGAGTGGCTTCTGACACGTCGTACAACCCAGGTTGGCAGAGTTTGCTGACAGAGTGGCATCCAACGGGTTAAAATCAGCTGCCAACATCTGCAGCTGTGGTTGGCTTTTAATTGCGAGGCCCAGAGAGTAAGCAAGCAGCATGGTGGAGAGAGGGGGCATATTTCAACGCAGTGTTCACAGAGCAGCTTTCCGGCCAGCCATGTGGACTCAATGATGGCGTCCAGGGGTGTTCTGTGCTCCTATGAAATATTAAATCTGCTCAGCCCCCATGTGCAGACAGACCACCTGCAAGCAAGCGTGGCGTGTGGTGAGTCCGAAGATCAGATGTCCCTTAGCAACACACTTGCACAAACACACGCAAAAGTATGCCGCGCCTGCACTGAACAGTATCCACAGCAGAGTGTGGAATTATTTTCAATTAATTTTTCATGCTGCATACTTCCCTGATAGATTTCTGTTTAAAAGCTCTGGGCTCAACTGGAAAAAGTTAAAGTCACCTTGTGTCGCTCCAGCGAACAATGAATGCATGTTTTGCTCCTTCTTGAAACAATCAGCAAAAGCATGAAGACCAACAATGATGAAAAAGAAGAACAAGGGAGGGGTGAGGAGGGTGGGATGGGGGGGTGAACTACAAAAAAAAACACTACTTCCAAGTGTCGGAGTCCAAAAAAGAAATTCAAGCCTTCACTTTGAAACGGAGCCAAAAGGACAACGGGTGCTTGTCGACTGCCGTCCCCTTCAGGGCCTCGTTCATTTACACATTGTGCAGTCAATCCTCAACCTCCCCTCTGCTCCCCGGAGGCCTCCATGCCTGCCCAGATGTTCAGCTGTTTATGTGGAGCAGCAATAAAAGCAGCTGGCCTGCACGTCCACAGAGTGAGCAGAGGGGGTCAGCCTTCTCCAAAAGAAGGATGTGACTGCTGCTAGGATCATTTGATCTTTTTGATTTCAACATCTTGTGTAACAAACATTACACTGTGAAGACAGTTATAAGGTTAGAAGTAGGGCTTCATTGGAAATGTTTTTGTTTCACCCTTGTTATGATCTAGACTTACAAAAAGGGGAGAAACCGAAAAAATAATAAAATAGGAATGCACTGGGGTAGAAGAAAATGGAAAGTTACCAGAATCTGAACTGGTGTAGTTTACATCGCATCTGTCTAATTTAATAACATATTTATATTATTCTCTTTTTAACCTGAAGCAAAAGATATTAGGTTAACGTCGTGGTCACGCGGACAAAAGAAATTATTTTGTGAGCAGCAGCGACCTCCTGTGGCAATTTTGTGTCAATACAGTCATCTAAAATAAGGCATTAGCAAATCGACGTAGTCCCCTACAGGATATTATTTACCTTAAAAAAAACACAAAATTGACTTAAATGTTTGTTTTGGGTTTTTTTTTCAAATAAGCTAAGGTATCGAGGGCTAAAGCCCAGGGCTAACGTGTTAAAGAAGGCAAATGGTTAATCACACGTCGGGGCTATGTTTGAGATGAGTTTTAAATATTTCTGGTATGCATTTTGCATTATCACTTGATATTTGTTTGTATATTAAATATATTTAGCTTTTAAATGTCGGGGCTATGTTTGAGTTGAGTTTTAAATATTTCTGGTATGTATTTTGTATTGTAACTATCACTTGATATTTGGTGTATATTAAATATATTTAGCTTTTAAATCCTAGCGTCATATGTTCATTTTTTTAAAAATGTTTCTGCTAACTTCAAGCTATGTCTGAGCATTTTGTATTTAGTTATCATTTTTGTTGTTTACATTTTAAGTGGTTGTTTGCTGGACTATTAAAGTTTAGCAATATTGAAAATTCTTCTTGTTAACGTTTGCTGAGTTTGCTGTATTTCCCTTATTTTCCATCTTTTCATCTAACGGTAACATTTAAAAGGTAAAAGTAACATTAGCTGGTCTGTGGTGTGAACATTAGCATATTAAAACTAGTCACTAAAGGTTTGGTCTTTGACCCCCGGTATTTAAACAGTCAGTTTTTCTTAACATTTTTTCCTACTTCCTTACAACTGCTCTAAACTCACTTGTTATTAATCAATGTCCGTACAAACACACATCTCACACAAAGCTAACCTCTTCACCTTTAATTTAATTTCCATGTACAAATACACATACTGTACAGCCAATTATTTAACATCTATAGTCTGTATTCAGTAAAAGTATTCTGTTGAGAACGGTGCCATTTACTTAAATCAAGGTAAAAAAAAAGTTCTTGTAGGTTTGACCTGTATTTGAACCAAAGTACACAGCTTTAAACACTGGCTCATTGGCTGTGGCTGCTGCTGGTTAGCAGAGTTTATGGAAACTCTTTGAGAATAGGAAGTGTTTATTTCCCCAATGTTTGCTCTCTGCCGGGAATGTGTGCCATCTGCTATCACCCAAGAGAGTGCAACAGAGGCCACTTCCTCGCTGGCAGGTTCACAGAAGCCCAGAGCTTCGAAAACCACAGAGATTGTTTTCAAAAAGTCTAAATAATTAGTCAACTGTTATGGAGAGAGTCCAAAAGAGTTTTCTCTTTTTTTGTGTTGACTTTCTTTTGTTTGCATGGATGTATGTTTCAGGTGCGTGTCATTATAAAATGTAAACTCCAACTTGAGCTTAGCTTACAAGGGGACACCTGACGGCTATGTGTCAAAGTTCACCCATATTTACTACCGTTCCTATTGAATATAAGTATACTCCTGCCACCATTGTTCCTTACAGTGAGTATTGTGGCTGTGTGGGGGGGTTTCATCCACTAAGATTATAAAACAAGCTTTTAAAACACATTTTGAGTTTTTGAAATGTTTAGCCATTTCCAGCTAAAATATTTTCTTGTGATTGAAACGTTTTTGTTTCATGAAAACTTGATCATACTTCAGATGGGAGTACATATGTACAACTGTGGCGTATACTGTACGGATCGAACAGTATATAATGTTAATTCATGCGATACTTGTACACTGCACTTTTGTATTTTCCCTTTTTTTATATCTGTATATATCTTGTTTTCTACAGCCTTGGAGAGCTAGCTGGTTCTAAATAATGTCACCATTTTGTACAGTAATAACTGTGATTACACTATTCATCGACGAGATCCTAAGTCTTAACCATATCATTAGTAGTAGGATGTAGCTCAGTAAATGACAAGATATGAAAAGGCATGAAAATATACAGGTGATTTGTTAATTCTGAATACATTTTGCGGAACAGGGAAACAAGGGGATTCTTAGTGATGTGATTTCTTACTGGTTAATCTGGAAGCCAGGCCTCAGCAGCCATCAGAGGAGGGCAGGATATACCCTGGACGGTTGACCAATCCGTGACGAGGCCACATACAGGGGAGGGTAAACGACAAAATAAAAAATACGTAAACATTTCTAAAATATATCAATTTGGTGTCGTTACATAATAAGCGCCACATGAGGGCAGTAGAGGCGTAATGGTGTTTGGCCAAGTGCGGCTCCTCTGCACCTTCTTGCTCTTTTCAAGTTCAAAATACTGCAAGACCAGAAGAAAACACACGTGTGGATTGTTTGAGAAGCAGCAGAAGCAGAACCACTGTATAAGTCAAATGTAGCAAAGCCAAGGTCGAACACATGACGTAGTCGAGGGAGATAATGGACACTTCAGGTCATACCTAATGAGAGTCCATGCAGGCTTTGTTGTGTGGTTATTATGACACAAACCTGCAGGAGGGAGCTGTGTATTTATACCATGTACTCTGAAACCCTGCAGACATGGATTTGACCTTGGAATAAATTTGTAAATGAGCCCAAGCTGAGGTTCTCTCCTCCACTTCTCCTCCTCCTGTAGCTCCTCGTTTGGATAAATGTCACGCATCAGGGTGGTGATATTTATTTATATATTATTTTTGGTCTTTTAAGAGAAGGTGAGTCTCATCTTAGTTTCCTTGGATACTCCAAATCATTGACATCATGCTGTAGCTCCCTGTCCTGTTTTCCAATGAGATGGCTCAGCGGCTGCTGACGTCATTACAGAGGCTGTGGGGAGGGAAACAGGAGTGGAGGCGGGGGGAGAGGAGGAGGGGGGCAGTCACCTGTGCTCTGATTGGCTCCTGGTGATAATGAGCTGCCATTGAGACTTTCACATAGGGGGTGTGTCCCCAGGCTGCACGGAGTGAACGCCTCCTACATAAATAGTCCACACCAGCCGGGGCGCTCTTCCAGACGTAGCAAATTTATAGAGGCTGTGCTTTTGTTTCTGCACTGTTTCACACACACACACACACACACACACGTACACTTTATTTTGCTCGACGCACTTCCTGTAGGTTGTTGTGTGTGTGTTAGACCCAGAGAGAGGAGGAAAAAGAGGTGAAAGAAGAGAAAAAGTGCCAGAAGTCAGAGGGAAGTCAGTGGCTGAAATTGGCAGCAGGTGTGAATTCATGCCTGTTTTCTCCCCACAGATTTACTGGTGAGTACTGTCTTTTTCCACTTGTCCCCACGGTATATGCATTGTATTGTTTCCAAGTATAAAACAGACATAGTTAAAGTAGTTTCTGCTTTTGCTTTTAAGATAAAGAAAAAAAAACTAAAACTAAAAAGAAACAGAGTGCATTGTGGGCTTTGGTGATTTCCCCTTTGAACAGACACCTGTGCTACTGCACCCACTCATCTTTCCCTTTGAGCTTTTCCTCTGAGGTGTTACCCCAGAATTTGAAAATGTCACACCACGCAGACTGGAAACATTTGAGGTGTTGCCTTTCTTTTTTTTTTTTTTTTATGCTCTCCCTTCCATCTAGTACTTATAAATAAAACTCATTGACTTTGCTGCTGTGACCTGAAACATCTAACTGGAGTGATCCAGTGCTCGTCAGTGCTGCAGGTGCAACTGGAGAAGGATGGATGCACCGTGCCCCCTATCCATTACCCTGGTGTCATTTCATCACGGTCACCTCTTGACAATCACTGCCCAGACTCCTTTCTCCTCCACTTGACACAGGAATAGCTATTGCATGTGTTTGAGTGTCTGCTCCGCTCGCTTATCTTTTCAAGTGTTTTCCTGTCTGTGAAGAGGATATGTAAGATGTTTTTTTTTTTCTTTTTGTTTTTTTCAAAGCATTTTTTTCATGCTGTTCAAACCTCAGCAGGCTTTTGGCTGCCTCTACCAGGAAGTTCAGAATCGGCCTCTTTACTGTAACCACACTTTGTCTTCCTATTTCTTCTAAAAGACAGTACGCCCAAGTATTTGAATTTTAAATATGGATTCTAAACAAAATATATATTTTTGTTCTAGAAGAATAGTTGGAATAATATAGGAGTGTTTCTGAGATGTTGTACATTTCAGTCAAATCCGTGGGACCAGGAAGACATTTAAAAAAAACAAAGCTGGATCTAATCCAACCAAGACGCAGATCTTCAGATTGCTGACGTGTGGTTTTAAGGAAACCTGTTGCAAGTCACAAGAATATACATGATGTGCTTCAGCCTAACCCTAAATGGACTTTTAAGTTTTTACTCCCACATTAATATCGCAACGGTGGCAACTGATTCATGATGCAATTTCAATGACAGTCATTCCAAAGGAATCTGGATACAATCCATTCTTCCTAACTCACTCCTGTGGGGGTGTGTGGGGGGGCGGGGGGGCACATAGTCCTTCACCTAGCAGCACCACTTACTTTCCCACAGAGCAGAGCAGGACTTGCTGCACCTGGTTGGTGCATGGAAATGTTGTCGCCACACAGACGGTGATTTATGATGCTTCGTATTAAGGACAGCGGGGCGGCAGATGGGGGAAAAGCACTTGTGATAAAGTAAAGTGAAGATTCCTCACTTGGACACTGGGGTTGCTGCAGAGACCAATTAAACTCTGGGCAGCACCGTAGACGCGAAAAGGTCACAACAGTAAATCCTGGAAAAAGGATGGCGGTGGTCTTGGACGAGAAGTTTTGGACCGCTGATAAATGTGTGTGTGTGTGTGTGTGTGTGTGTGTTGGTACTGGTAAAGTGAAGGCTGTGCTAACATATGATCACAGTGACTGGTGTAGCTGCTGTTGAGGTACTTGTCTACGCAATAAAACTTCTTAAAATAGTGCCAACAGGTGGATTTAGACATAAAATTTTCACCGGTTTATGTTTGACTGCTAGTGTTATGTAATATTGTCGCGTCCTCACAGAGTACAAACGACTGCTTCACTGGATAGCTACTCTTCAACACAAGCTTGATTTGAAATACAATTCCATTATTGTTTTCATGACTGGGGTGTGTTTGTCATCAGGTTATGTTTTTGGTGACGTAATTACCTTATTGCTATTATCCTAAGCTGCTCGTTGGCAGCATTTTGTTGCTGCTTATTTCCTCTTGAGCGAATGTAACCATGTTGGATCTCAACTCTTTCTGGCGGTTAATTTCTTTATTTGTTTCTAACTTGTTATTTTCTAAACATCAGCTTAGATTACATTTTTTGCTAATGCCACATGTGCTGGGCAAACCTGTATTTGGCTTCTAGCGTTTTTGAGTTAGTGCAAATTTAGCTTACCAGCTATGACTTAAGTTTTTTCCATCTGAGAAACTGTGTATACAGAGCTAATATTTAATAGCTGGTAAGCTAAATTTGCACTGACTTAAGTTTTTTCCATCTGGCAAACTGTGTATACAGAGCTAATATTTAAGTGTTTCAACAAACTTTGAATACAAATGAGATTCTGGCTGTGTTCTTGTCCTAAAATTATTTAATTTTGTTTTATTTTAGCTAACTTAACCGTTTGTCTGCTCGCATGTGAGCATGCTACTTTTTTTAGCTAAGTTTTAGCTATTTCACTTAAATGTTAAACTTCAGTGTTTTTTTTTATTTATTTGCCTTTCTCATTTATTTTTTTCCTCAACCTTTAACATACAATATTTTGCTGCCCTATGTAGCCATATGTAGCTATCAATTAGCATTTTTGCTATAGTTTTTCATTATCACTTAAAGCCATATGTAAACTCATAAGTTTAGTTTAATGTGGGGCAGCTATGATTTGCTAAACTGCATTTTTGCTACCCTTACATAATCTGTAATTAGGCAACAATTTTAATTGCCCTGTATGTTGTCGATAAACACTAGCATGCCTCACATGACCAAGCTGGATTTTCCACTCACATTTGTAGTAAGCTAAGACTATAAAAACATGCTCTTAACATCTTAAATTAAAGGGCATTTTAATATTTCAAGGGTATTTTGGCCGTACACTTCCAAAGTGTTCACATTTTTTTAATGTTTTAACAATTTCCTATAAAATCTGAGCTCATGGTCTGGTTGAAGTATCAGGAAACTTGTAGGTCAAGAGGTAAGGAAGGTTTCACGTCAGCAGTCTCACACTAATCGCTAAAATCCTTCACCTGGTGAGTTGTCTTGACTTGCCCATAAAAAAAAAACCTTTGCATGATGACGACCAAATCTACACCCCCCCAGGCCAAACCTTTTTCCCATCATGCAGTGCTTACAGCTTAGTTCCCCGTAGATCACTTGACACATCGACCGAAGAAATCATCCTACGGTGAGAGAGCGACGCGTTCAGCTCTGCTTGACTCTCACCGTTTGTTTCCCCCCAGGTTGACTTGTTACTTGTGCTGCTCCACTTCCTCCTCATTGTGCCCCTTTATGTTTTATTAGGTCGATGTTCTGTTATTCTTAGCCGAGCAGGATGTTTATACGATCCTCAAACAGAAATATGACTGGCAGGGTCTGAGTGTTTATCTTTATTTCCCTTCACTTCCCTCCCTCTCCTGCCCTCTGCTCCTCTGCTCAGGTCTTCATTGTCACCGCTCAACCCTCCATCCGCTGCATTTTTAAATGAATGAATGAATTACGGTGTCTCTGATTCACCCCACCCTCGATGGGTGTTTTTACCAAGTAAAAACACCCATCGAGGGTGTGGTGAATTTTTTTATATTTTACCATGACGGTGATTTTTGTTTTTAGTTTCGTTTCTCACACAGAAGACAAATTTAATGTCTAAGTACTGCTAATTATAAATGTGTTGATGTCTGAGTCAGTATTCAAAAAAAATATATCAAAGACTTGACTATTAATTTATCTGACTGTAGCTTGTCCACAATCTACAGGACTGTAGAGCAGGGGTGTCAAACTCAATCATAACATAATGAACTGTAAATAAAAATAAGTGCATGTTTTTCCCCTTTGTTTTTATGCAAAGAAGTGCCAATATATTAGAAAATATTAATATATTAACTGGGAAAGTGTAAACAGTTGTTAAAAGTCTAATGGGTTGTTGTGATCCAACCACATACAAAGCACTGTTAGGAACAATACCCAAAAGATTCTCCTCAGTTTGACACAACAAAGAGGCAGGTTACTGAAACCGTTCTGATGAGGACCACAAAGACCCATCAGACTCTTAACGACTGTTTACACTTTCCCAGTTGACCCCAAGGCCCCACCTGACAGGGTGGAGCTGAAGTAGCTTTATTCTTTCACATCCAGTGTATACTGTACAGTTGCTGTATTCCCCTCCACCAGTTAGAGCTGTAGAAGCCTCTTGGATGACAGGCCAAACTAGAAAATTCACATCCAGTTGCCTAACTGAACTCTTCAACCTTGACCATGGCCTGGATGACTGACAATCTTCATAGACAACATAAAAACAAGTTTTCCGCTGACATACGCTTTGGCGGCTAAATGGTCAGCCTGAAATACAGTGTATCACTTATTTTGAAGCAGTTTCCTGGTGTAGATTTCTACTCTCGTGTTGAGAGATTGAACATGTTTAACCAACGTGAGAGCAGGTCAATGAAAATCCCCACAAAACATCCACAGTCTGGTGGGACAGACAATGTGGGGCTGTGAGTGAGCTCCTTGTTTTTGTTCCTATTTCTTTGTCTGACATTCTCAGTGACCACACAAACCACAAGCCTGTGGCGACTGACCACAAGGCTCCAGTCTTTAAATAGAGACCGTGAGAAGGCGGCTCGGCATCTCGTCTCAAGACGGCGTCCATCTCAGACGTGTCTCGCTTTTAACATAACATTTCTCCATCACGTTTAGACGGCGAACCGAGTTGATTAACAGGTTGTTGTTACTTTTAATCTAAAGTGGAAAGTGTAGACGGGCTGCCCCGGAACAACGAGGACAGAGTTCCAGCCCAGTCGCAGACCACAGGCCGCCCCTGCACACTCTCACAATGACTGTGTTTTCTGGTAGCTCGGTGCAAAAGCACATCATCCTCTGTTTAGAAACAGCCATCTTGCACGTGTCAACATCACGGGCTGCGCAGCTCCAGCACGGCAGAGCACAGAGTGGAGGCTGAGTGTGTTGTGGTGAAGACGATAGTTGTGTTCTCGGCCGTTTATCAACCTGACAAGTGGAGAAATGTTGGGGGAACTGACTTCTGCGGGTCACTGCTTCATGGCTACTTAATATTGTGCTTATCACAGAAATAACAACAGGTATTGGAGACCTCAGTTTTCTCCACTGGCTTGGACATAGCTACTTATGTAAAATAAAAAAGAAATTCAAAAAGTTAAGCATTTTTTCTAACCTGCTCTGAGAACAGTGTTTCTGATCCCAACTGCAGCATTCACATCTTCTCCAGGCGAGAAAAACACACTGTCGGTTTAATTAACGTATTACTGGAGAAGACAGCGACGGTGGATATAATTAATTATATGAAAAATCCAGTTATATTTTTATAGGCCTCCATTAAAATGGTGGTTATTCCAGTACTATTTTTGAGACTGCACTGATGGCTATAAATGGCAATATCCAATGGGCCGTGGACCGTATGAAAATGGTTGTATTTTTTTCTGTTTCCCATTTAAAGCCTTTGGATTTGTCGTTTTGACATCCTAAGGCTCTTTTTGCTTAATACATTGGTCCCAGTTGGGGGTGAGTTGCCAATGTAGAGGAGGTGAATTATTTCATTTTCAACATTTTCTTTTTGTGCCACATTAGGGATAATACGGTGATTTGTAATTTAATTTTCTTGAGCAGTTTTGGAGGAATTAAAGTTCAGTTGTGGTTTTAAATGTGGTTTCAGTTGTGGTCTTAAATTTCTTGTAATCAACATTTACACCTCATTATTATTATTATTACACTGAATTGCAACACCTCAACAAATGTCTTCATAACCGTACTTTCCACTGATCATGGCTTCTACTCTCTTGACCTCGCAGCCCTGTGTTTGTGCCCAGCCGAGCTATGACTGAGGTGATGATCAACAGCTCCCCCATGGAGGACATGAGGCTCAGTCCCAGCAAGGACAGACTCTCCTTCCAGGTACACACACATGCATATGCACATATGATAATTCTATGCTGCCCCTCCCCCAATTCCCAGACTGTACGTTTCTATGTGGCTAGTTTATGTCATCACCTTGGAGAACAGGACTGACGTCAGCGTGGATGCTACCGCTGCGGTCCAGGCAGCTGCATTTAGGAATAACATCATACAGTGTTTGTGTAACACTTAGGCAAAAAGAACAGCATACAGTCTGGTGTCAGTCAGTGACGGTGGTGAAACCTGCTAACTCTTTAGTCTTGAACTAGCTCAGTGTGGTTCAGTTTGATCAGATAAGACAACCCATCAAATGAGCTCTGGGTTGTGTTGCCTCTGGTGTGATCATAGTACACTCGGTCATTTCTAATATTACCTCACTGCTCCACGTGGCAGTGTACGGTCTGTCGAGAGGCTGTAGAATCTGATCAGGTGCCGTGACTGAAGCTCTGAAAGCAGCAGATTAGACACGCCTCTGATTTTTAGCTTGTTCGCTAATGTCTAAAGCAATGTTAATGTTAGCATGATGAGACTGTGGTAAATTGCAAAGGCATTGGCCATTAGATTGACTGACATTTACCAATCACGACAACATTGTTTTTGATTCAGCCAATGGAATGAAACTGGAAAAAGTACAAATTATTTTACAGTTCTTTCATGGGGACCATTTTGAACCTTTTGAGCTGGAAGTTGTAGAGTTGAGGATAAAAAGATTTTAACATGATGGGTAGGAAACATCGGTGAGTTTAAACATTAAGTCAAAATGCAAAGTTGAAATGGTGGGAAAATAGTGGATTTGTTCACTCAGCTGACATGCAGGAGGTTTCAGAAACGACGTAGAAGATTCAGGCTTGGTGTTAGAATTTATACGTTAAAGGATGAGGTGTTAGAGTCTAATGATCTGCTGTTGTGCTCCCTGTGGGTGGTAGCATAAGTCATATTAATATAAAAGAAGTGCAGATGAATGTTCCAGACTATAAATATTGTTGAATTCTAATGATGTATTACTCATGGGGAGAGTGTTCTTTGTGTTTAATGTGCTTACTTCTGCCAACTGACTGTACCTTAAAATTTACATCTCTTTGGTTTGTGCAAAAATAGGTTTTGTGAATGTCTGAATTCTAGAATACAAATGAGGTTTTTATTGAAATGATGATGAATTTGTAAGCGGTTAAACTCTCATGGGTTATCTGCAGTGGAACATTGGTGTATTTTTCTTTAGCCTTAACCCAAAAATAAAAATCCCCTTGTGGTTTGTCTGAGATGAGATGCGATGAGCTGACATCAGGTGGTCCTGACAAGTTGTTGCCTGAAGCTTTGTTTCACTGTCACCTCAATGGATCCATCTTTAGCCACAAAACCACTTCATCACATAGCTGTGTGTTGTTTACCGTCACCGTTTTTAGCACTCGGCGTGTCAAAATGATGAAATGGCCTCGTGTTGGTTTTCTCCTAATTTACAGTGAAAGTTTCTCAGTGTCAGTCATGTCTCCAAATTATTCCTGCGCCACCTGCTGAGGCTTTTTAGACCACAGCACACAAAAAAGGTCATTTCCTGCTGGAAGATAAATAATTTCTCGCAAGACTGATAGACAATTTAATTATTCATCCGAAATGCAATCATCTGCTAATGTCATGCTGTACAAAGACATTGATGAGCGGAGACAGACTGCCCCCGTACCGAAAAGCCTGGCTTTCTCTTGCCACAATTCACACCCCCATCTGCCCCCAGCCCCCGTTGTGAGTCTGAGAATGAGAGCAGTTGATAAAGGAGTAAGGGAGGATGCCAGTG